GACTAGTAGTCTGTCTGGTCATATTGTGCTCAGATCCAGCCGGGAGGTTTCTTCTGAATTCCAACTAGTTGACTGACTTCTCCGATTTCCAGTGGCTGGTGCGTGACGATGGATAGTGCCACAAGCAGATGCTCCTGCGTCGTGCATGGCGGCCGAGATCCCAATCCACTGAAGCTCAGTGTCATTAAAACAAGACAGCGAAAGTTCGGTACGCAGTGTGTCATGGTAGGCTTGCCTGGCCGAGGGCTGGGAAGATTTCTCCGTTGCCAATCGGAGGGGACGCTTAGTGCGCCTCCCGGTAAAGTTCATGGAGAAACAACAGCATACCAAGGCATGATCAGATTCGACGCAGGTACTCCAGTTCGAGCGGCAATCAAGGATGAAACTAAGCCACCTGTAATTTATGGTAATGTGCTCAATTTGGGTCCATCGTTGGCCAGCTACAGGAGGACGCCATGTGGCACTTCGGTGCCCACTGTGTCTAAAAGCCTAAGAAACAACTGGTGCTTCGCATACAGTTGCAACAGACGCTCGCCGTTGTCAGTCCGTTCGCAAGCCCATAATTACCACCTAGCTGAGTTTCTGAAGAGCCCAGGCGATCTAGTTGTGCATTCATATTCCATGCAAGGACTAGTATATCTGAACTAGTAGCACTGCGTAGTAGCGCTTTCAATTCGTGATTGAATGTGTCCTTAGCAGCATCAGAATTGCAGTCGGTGGAGACATACCTGAAATCACAAACAAACAACGCTGTGTACTACTTCGTGAATCAACCTTACTTGATGTCAAACGGGCTGCACACGGGAATCCAATCAACCAACGATGACTCAGCATTGGAGCTGAGAATGATGCCTACCCCAGCTTGATCCGTGAGTGTGGTAACAGGGTCTCCGGATGCGTTCAACCAATAGCGTGAGACAAGCCGGGCGCAGTTACCGTATATTACCGTGAAGAAGCCGAGAAATTGTGGACGCCTTTTCATGTCTGTAGTGGGGAGGTCGGCTTATACAAAGGTTATGTGCAATTCGAAAAAATCACATGCAAAATCCACTGCACACACATGCCCTTATCTTGCCTTAGCACCACACACTAGTGACAGACGGTATCCCAGGCGGGGATTGGAAGTGCCGCTAAGTAGACACATTATGTTTGAGTCAGGTTTTTCGCAGCCAGTTTCCAAATCAGACAGTCGTTCATATGCCCGGAAAAGCACTAGACTGCGATTTCAGCCTGTTGGGCATCGTCATTATTGCGTATCCATCGGATCCATCAGGATTCGAACCCATGACCACCAGCGGCTTGAACCGCCAACCGTGTCCTCTGCAACGTTCGTAACTTGCATGGCAGTGGAGGATAAGACGCGCTATATCGCAGTTAGCTTGTAAATCATGACGGTCCGAAGCTGTCCCCCGTGGCCCAGTGGTATAAGCTGCTGACTGGTGGTTCAAGCCGCTGGTGGTCATGGGTTCGAATCCTGATGGATCCGGTGGATGCGCACTGCTGACGATGCCCAACAGGCTGAAACCAGTCTAGTGCTTTTCCGGGCATGTGAACGAGTATCTGATTTGGAAACTGGCTGCGAAGAACCTGACTTAATTACATCAAAATCCCCTACTCATGAGTACATTATGTTTGTGTCGAAAATTCTCAGTATATTGCACATTTGACTTTCGCGACTGATGGCCGTAACAGAAGCATACTGATTATACAGAATCGAACACCATCAAACACAATAACATTGGAAAAAGACAGGATAGCACGTACCGGTGGATTTTATAGACTCATATATCCAAACGCCGCACAATGGTATTAAAATTACTCGAATCCTTGGAAACTAGAATTCGAGACAGAATCTCCAAACAGTTTCTGGTACTGGTCGTCTGTCATTGACACGTCAGGGTGAAAATCGTCATCTGTGCAGTTAATATTTGTTATGACGGCTATATGCTTCACTAACTGGTGATCATAGCACATTAGGTCGCCAGAACTTACCAATAGTAGGGCAGCTTTCGCTTGCGCACACTCAAGGGAGAGTAGGTAATGATGAAGTCATAATCGTGAGAAACAACTTCATTTCTCTTTTTGCTGATTATTTTAGGGGTCGGCTAATATACGGGCTTAGGATTTGGGACAAATTTGACGTTGTAAAGTCATATTGTCGGTTTATACACTGATCGGCTTATACACGGTAACATACGGTAATTCAACAACCCCATTACGGTCATTGTTCCTAGCTCCAGACACACAACATACGTCAGTACCGTGTGTCCAACGTGCGTGCGAGTGCAGCCAGTTGACCTATGTCTTAGAGTGCGAACGTTGAACGCCCCCAGGGAAAGGGGACAGTGTGGCCTTATATGAGACGGTAGTATGTATCCACCTTAGCTCTAAGTCCGACAATTTCGTAAGTAAAAGGTTAGCAAACCATCATCATCATCATTATACACGTCAGCTAGAGGTGGGAAACACCTCAGCTACTGTGCCGCAAATATGATGGCAGAACAGCGAATTGATCGATCGATCAAGGGACAATTCGGAAAATGCACGACAAAATGTAGATCAGACACACCATACAAAGAAGCAGATAAAAATAACACGAGAACACTGCTATTAAAGGAACACAAGGGGCACAATGGCATAACAATGAGACAAAACTCGAGCTGGTGAGCAGGGGAACACATTGCTCCTAAAGGCATATTAAAAGCGAGTAACTATCGTAAGTATCTCGGATGAGGGCTACACTGAATGTCCTTCCGCATCATCGCTACACCGCGGCTACGGACTGCATACGTATACGCAGAGGGGAGCAGAGTTCGGTCTTTTTCAAGTGAGCCAAATACGAATGAAATGAGTTGGTAGGGAGGAAGAAGGCTAAATCCGACAGCCGATCTTGTCAGTGTTTCAGCTACCTAACGGATGCAAGATAATGAGCAAATGTTTGAAGATGTGCGCGAAAATTATCAAGCTTACGTCAGTGGTTGGAATGCTTCGCTGCAGCCGCACTCCTCAGTGCAAGTTTATCGTTCTCTTGCCGTTTTCATTTCGTGACGCCGTTAGTAATTGTTCCTTAGACCACGGACACTCGGATGCTACAGTCTAGTGAATAGACACAAAGCCAACAAAAGCTAGGAAAAATCAACGGAAGATGACAGAATGGCCGCAGTAACATAAAATTAAACCTTGACTAAAGGAGAGCAACACACTTTAGCTACTGTGCCGCAAGAAAAAAACGGAATATTTTCGGTTATTGTGCATATGCCAGTATTTTTTATCATTTCGATTGCTTGGCATTTAGCAGCTGGATCTAAACAAGTATGTATACAGATTTCAAACTGGTTTCAATTGCGCACCATCTCCTGAGGCAAAATGAAAAAAAAACAGAACAAAGTGTATCACAATACTGAGGATTCGCTTCTGAAATGTATTGAGAAAACGGATCTCGGGCCAAAAGGAACAAATAGTTGCCGCCATCTGTTGGTATTATATGACCTGTTTTGAAAGTCGCTCAGCGAGATGAAACAACAGAAGCATGATGAGCTGAGAATGAGTCTCACTTGATCGCTTCGATGCGCAGATCCAACATTTTATCACGAGTTGGAATAGTGGTTCCTAGTTTCTCTTCAATAAGCTGTCTCGTGCACTTCAAGGTGTTTAGGCTCCATGACTTGACATATTCAAATTTCTGATGCACAGTTTTGTTCAACGGTGTATCTGGAGCCTGTGAAGCAGAAATCTGTAGATCTAAAAGAGTAATGTGAGAAACTTAAATACAACCTGCTCGGTCGCTCCACGGTTGCGGCGAGATGTCCGCGTTCATCTCACCAGAATAAGGTAGGGAAAGGTCCTGTGCACAAATAGACGCATCTTCAACTGCAGATACAGAGGTATCGAACACATCCACTTCTGAATTGTAGTTACTACAAGAAAATTCCTCATTGGGAGGACTTTGTGCAGGTGCGTCTGGTACTGCATGATGAGGCATGACGGCAAAAGCAAACAGATGATCGCAGGGACAAATTTCCGAATGATCGGCAGCTGTAGTTTCAAAATAGCGACGTGTACAACGTGATAACTATAGTCTCCAGTTAAACGCACAAATTATTAGGTAAGTATGAAGCTCAAGGGAAAAAAGTAGCCAGCCTGGATGGGCTAAAGCTTATCGGTCAGGTCAGTGTCCAAGGACGATGTAGAGATCGCCGTCTAACGAACGTTCAGTTTTTGATATTGGCAATTAAACCAGGTCTCGACACTTCAACGTTTGCTTTGCTCTCTTTGCTTCAAAAAATAATGAACATTATCATCATCATTACACACGATAGCTGGAGGTGAAAAACACATGGATCATGAGGTCTCAACGATAAATGTCAACAAATTTGCAACAATTCCAGGAAAAGATCTAGCACTCTGTTTAGACCTTTTGAAGACTTCCACAGTATTAGACTTCCTTAAAGCATAGGAAGCTGCGAAGAAAATGACTCTTAATTCTCGCGCTAGTATCTGGCATGGACCTCTACTGTTTTAGATTAAATTGACTTCGTGCAAGTGGTCTGATGTAGTCAGTCAAAACAGACAAATAGGCTGAACATCACTGAGGCCCATAATCAAGCCAACTTTCGAAGCAGCTTCGCTAAAGTGCGCGTTTTACACGGAACTACTAGTTCGTTCATGAAACAATGGAGTTGTTGATGCTGACACCATGGTTATTTATCAGTTCGAGTGTGCCTACGGCGCAACGCATAGCGGTTGAACGGCGCGGCCCTTTTCCAAAGACGCGAATGAACCCTGCCCACCTAGAATGAGTCAAGGTGGCACTGGGGTACTGGCAGCTCCGTTCCAGTCAACGTCGTCGACAGTGGGCAGCATATAGAGATGAAGCGTGCCTTTAGAAAAGTGCACAAGGTTCCCCCGCACCGATCGAAAGGCCAACAAGTTAGTAGATTTGCGACGGCCGAAGCAATCTGCGTTCGATTAGTTCCACAGTCCTTATGCTCGCAGAAGCAGCGAATTAAGGCACTTCAGAATAACTAGCTAACAAAATAGGAAAACAGTGATGTCGACTGCTTTAAGTCAAACTAACTCATTAAAGCGTCGTTCATTTTTTCGTCTCCGACACTGACTCAAATGATCTATCCAACACGAACTTTATGCGTCGGTTCTAAATGTTTAGTCCCTATGTATAACTGTGATAGGCTGAGGAAAAAGCATTGAAATCAATTGCTCACCAAATGATCATCCTTCTCCAGCCCATCATAATCTTGAACACCATCAACGTCTCCATAAAAACACGTCATCTAGAGGTTGTAAAAAGCTCAGCTATTACGCCGCAATACATAAGAAAAGAAGAAGTAACAAAAGCACGCCATATGAGCCACCAGTAATGGATGCACATCGTTCCGAAGAGCTAGCAGCCGGCTAGTGTGCCGCAAGTTATAGTATGTGTCAGAACTGAGATCGTGGTTGGAAGGAAAGTTAAGCAGGAGGGGGAGGGACAAAGAAATTCACGACACAAACGCCACTGAGGTTAGCTCCTAGCCATATCAACAAGTGGATCCAAGCAAAGAGAGCCGAAAGGATTCAACTGACACCAACTTTGAACTAAGGACCTTCATTTCTCTTGATCAAGTCATAGCTTAACCAATCCTTCTCTACTTCTATCCACACCCCCGGCGCGCAAACAATGCACGTCGCAGGAGTCGGTGTGTTGGCATGCGCAACACGTGGTCCAGTTATCGGAGCTCGGCGCGTGAAATAACGGTGCTGAGCGGTTCACTTCCTCTTCCTGTGCCATAATCAACGTATCGAACGTGCTCATTGCTCACACGATGTCCCCACCGGATAGGAGCCAAAATACGAAGGCATCGGTGGTCGAACGTAACTAGCTTCTTTTCGCCTGCCGATCTAATGGACCAGGTTTCACAACCGTACAGTAGGGTCAAACGTACGGCTGCATCGTAAACTGTATCCTTCAGGG